CAGCACTGCTCACGCAGTCACACACACGTTCACTACAAAGTCACCATGCCCGGGGACAGCTCCAGCCTCTCTGCCAAGGTCCCCAGAAAGAGCTGCTGTCCACAAAGTGCTGACACCCAGGCACTTGGCAATATTGATCCCTCAGCTGCTGATCAAGCAGGAACATAGGAGTCCCCTGGGCACGGCTAGGGTGAGGAAATCAGGCATCCTCTGAAGGGAACCCACTCTGCTTGTTTCAGTCCCTTTCCTAGTCTCCTGCTCTGTATTCACAGCAATAAATCATTTCATTAATCAGCCTGAAAGGGGGAATAGAAACCCCACTGCAGGCAATGGATTTCTAGGGACAGAAACCCAAACCCATTACTGGAGCTCCCCATTAATTCATCTCCATTAGCAAATGCCTTTGCCTGCCATTCCAGGCCCTGGCTGCAGAGCTGCAGTGCCTGCAGGAGTCATGTGGGGCATTTAGCAAAGTCCTGTTTTCCACCAGCTCCTGGGGAGGAAGGCAACAGAGCTCACCCATCTCCCCATTACCCTGTGCAAAGCTGAGCTCTGAAGTCCTGGGTACCACGGAGCGTGTTTACCTCACCTGAGCAGCTCATGGCTCAGCCCCTGCAGCTGAAATGGAGAGAGCTGGGGCTGAGTTCACAAGAAGTTCCACCCCAGGGACACGAAAGAGCAAAGGCAAATCTCCATGGGCTGTGAGTTTGGGGTGTGAGTACACTATAGTATTGAAAAATTGACAGTACATTGCACAAAACAAAAATGTTCAACCCACCAAGGACCCTGGCTCCTGTGACCTCGTTGGCTGCCACTGGTACCAAGTTCTTCTAGCTCCAGTCTAACTCCTATTTATTTATTTTCTAACCATAGCTGATAACTCCACGTGTCCTTTATTCCATCCACGCTCTCAGGAGCCTTTTCCCCTCTCACTTTTATTTCTGCTCTGTACTTTGCCTTTGTACTATGCATCCATCCTGTCTTCTCTATTTGCCTTCTGGCTGAAACACTGATCCAGCTGAGGTTTCCCCCTCCTAGGACTTCGCCATCCTCCTGGAAAGCTTACAGAAGTGCTGAGGCTGCAAGCTCTGCGCCTCGCAGGAAGATGCATGGAGCAGGTGGGGCTGCTGTCCTGGGACTGTGGGCTGCTCTCAGGTTAATTTGTGAAATTACCTTCAGACTCAGCAGCTGCTGGGGCTGTTAGTACTTCAAGAGAGAAGAAAAATGCTGATGGGAACAGCTGCCTCTATGATTTATAAGCTGCACAAGAACATCTAAGCTCTGGAGGGAGCTGCATATGGAAGGGGATTTTCTTGCGAATGACCTTCTTTAAGAAAAGGTATCAGGCACAGGTTTGAGGGGAAATTGCAAAAGATTCTCTCAGTGGTGAGACTTTTATCTTCCTTTTGCCTTTCTCCACATCAATCCCCTCCCTGCCATGAGGCATGACGATGAAGTGCTGATCTAATTTTCCTAATTCTCTTCTGTAAGACACAGTCCACTCACCTCTAAGGTCTGCCAAGATGCTTTTCACTATCCCAGCACCTCAACATGAACTGGGAACTTTGTGTAGTGGCAAGTAGGACAATGTGTGTGCAAGTGTGTAGGGAGGTGAGGTGACGGTGAAACATCCTCTGCTGTTTGATCACAGAATCCCAGGATGGTTCATGTTGGAAGGGACCATCTTGTTCCACCCCTGCCATGGCAGGGACACCTTCCACCACCCCAGGGTGCTCCAAACCCCATCCAGCGTGGCCTAGGACACTTCCAGGGATCCAGAGGCAGCCACAACTTCTCTGGGAACCTGTGCCAGGGCCTCACTGCCCTCACAGAGAAGAATTTCCTGAAGTTTAAACTTTAAATCCATTATCCTTCCCGACACCCTCCTGTGGACATCCTTTCCGTACAATTAGGGCGACCTAAGGTGCACAGCAGCACTCACACTGTCCTTATGGGTTATGGGAGTTTCTCCCCAACATGCCCAGCAGATACCTTCTCCTGCCTCCAAGGAATCCAAGGAGCTCCATGTGGACAGTAAATAATGTTGTTTCATATGGATGACAATCCTATCTCCCCTTTTTGAACCATTAGAAGAGCAGGGGCAAACTCTTCCTTCCAGCAGGAGTCTGGCTACCTTCTCCCCCAAGACCACGAATGCTCTGATTCTGCCACGCTCCAGTGGAACAGGATCTGCACCAGGGGGTCTGCAGGCCTGAACTCTGCATTTCTCTTTTTCTGTTTATACCATCCTTGGGTGGTCACTCTTGCTCTGTCCTGAGGCATCCATGTGCTCCAGGAGTGTGAATCATCTTTGCTGTTTCGGGACGTGAAGCCAGGTGGAAATTTTATCCAACAAAAATGTAAACATGAGCAGCCCTGAGCTTCTGTGCCACCCTGGCTTGTACTGCATTAATTACACTTTTTCCTTGGTCCAGAAAAGCTGGTCAGAAATGCTGTGCTGAGAGAGTCCAAGAGGAGAAAGCTATATTCTCCTGTGAGGATTTGGGGGTGAACACCTCTATTTATGTTGCAGGGAAAGGGTCCTCAGGAGGTGTTGGACTGGATACAGAAATCTGTTAGACACAAATATTCAATTATCATGAATTATTTGCCTTTCTGCTTCTCCAAAATCTTGTTTTTGATTTGAAACCTACTACCTCAGTAATAATCATTTAATGACCGATTATTTTAATTTATCTTCTGGTAGCAGGCTCCAGCAGTCACATTTATGAGAGTTTGTCTCCATGACAGAAACTTTTTTTTTTTTTTTTTTAAATGCAAACACAGCCCTGGATATATTCCCATGAATCTAAGAACATCATGTTGTGGTATTTTATTTTGAAAAAGGACTTAGAACTAGGCTCATGATTAATTCACCAAATTAAATTAAACCAGTTGGCAACTCTGATTTAAAGCTGGCTCATTTTCACCCATCTGACTTCAAAATGGCAGAATGGATTTTGCTCAAAGTTTAGAATTAAAGACAAAAAGAATTTGCCTTGGGAAAAGGAGTAAAGACATGACTAATAATAGTGTATATCCTCCAGTGTACAGCAGAAGCAGCACCTCAGCAGCCCATGCACAGCAGGTGAGGGATGTCTCTGCCAGCCCACGGAGGTGTCCAGGCAAAAAACTTAGGAAATACAGAGACTGAAATGGTTTTGAGATACCAAACCTTAGTTACTGCACAAGTAGAAAACAATAGTACAGCCAGGATGAAGACAATCCCCCCTTCTGGTTGAACAATGCCCTTACCTACAGGTAGGTCCAAGGGTCAAATGGACTGTTGGATCTCACCCCAATGTATGGTTCATCCCACACCTGTAACCCTCCCCTGAAGCATCAGGAGTCTGTGACCCCATTGGCCTGAGTCTTGTCCAGCCCACCTTGAAGCCCCTGACAAGGAGTCCCTGAGGAGCCAGACGCTCTCTTGGAGCTTCCACCCTCTTGGAACTGCCCCTCTCCTGGAACATCCTCTTGGGATCCTCTCTTATCTCCCTCTACCCCTTGCCTCTCCCTTCCCCCACGCCCTCGGGCCTGCCACGGGTCAGGTCTGGTGACTCCAAGCAGGGCCTTTCACCCTCTCTAATAAACCAGATATTCTGAGAGCAGCCTCCAGAGATCTCTCGTCTCCAGCCACCCAAACTGTCCTGGAGTCCAGCATCCCCACGAGGAAGTCTCGTGTCTGCCTTGTCTGCTGGTGTTTATTTCATGGCTTGCAGCTTCTAAGTTGTTCTTGCATGTTTGCCTGACACCTCTCACCCCAGACTGCTGCAGATGAACTCTTCTGTTGTCCCACAATTGCAAGGACAGGGGAAAAGGATGGGTGGATCATTTTTCCCCTCAGTATAGGATCCTGGCTGAAGTCAGACCCTTCCTTGACAAGGAATAATGAACTTTAGGGAGCTCTTCTGAATCCTGGTCTAGGACCTGCCCTGTAAATACACAACACACAAATGAGAAAAATATTTCATATGTAGGCCACAGAGTGTTTTGATCCTAGAGCTGAGATGACCATACAAAACCACTGACATAAATCACATTTTTAGCCAGGCCACTGACATAAATCACATTTTTAACCAGGAACTTCTCTGGAGACTCTTTTTTTCCAGCTACAGATTTTGCTTTTATAATTTGTGCCTTCATTGTTGCAAGGCCAGACTCCTTCACTGTGCCCAGTGTGGTGTCAAGATTTAAGCAAGCTCATTTTCCAAGGCTGGTGCAGAGCCTCACAGGATGCTTGTCAGCAATGTCTGTTGCAGGGTTGTTAGTCCCTGAGCACATTAACTTTGTTTGAAGCAGGGTTTTGGGGGATTTTGCCCACATTTTGGAGGTATTAGTTCTTCAGTTTGATGGAGAAGGAGCCTTCCTCCCTTCAGCAGACACACCCTGGGATGCTGAGTGTGTTTGGAGCCACCTGCCCGAGCAGACCCTGGAGGTGTGGAAAAGCCCTGTCTTCCTACACAGCCTTTTGGTGTGAGAACTGGAATATCAGAGCTGGCTTTTGGATGGCAATGTGGGCTCACTCCAGGCTGCTCCTGACTGCACTGCTCTGCTTGGTGGGGAAAATCCATGAGGGGGATTGGAGATGAAATCCTCTGGCTGGTCCTGCATTTCCCCAGAGTGGCAGGAACATGTGGAACTGTTAATATTTAAATTATTGACACAGTGCCTGGTGGAGGCAGCAGCATCAGCACCACCCTCCTTTGGAGAAATCTCCTGTCTGGGAGGATCCAAAGCAAACTGCCAGCACGGAATGCCCAGGTTCCCCCAAAGCAGGCACTGGGGCTGCAGCTGGGTTCAGTTGGTGATTTCTGTTCTCCAAAATGAGAGTGGCTTGCAAGGACTTTTCAGCACAGAGTCTGTCAGATGATATTTCACAAGACAACTGGCTGGATAATGTTTGCTGTTCTTTTTTTCTCCCTTCAAAAATCAGCACTTTGTCAAAAAACTGTAAAAAAATGTCAGGTTGTGGTGATTCAAATGAAATGCTCTTCAGCTGCATTGAAATAACAGACTTTATTTCATTTGAGTTTCAGTATCAACTCTGCTCTCGATTTGTCTCTGAATTTCCATTCTTCTGCCTTTGCCTGCCTGAAATTAGACAATGAAAATGGTGCTGATACAGATAAAACCATAATTTATTCTTGAAGACAAAATGCTCCAAAGACATACCAACAAAAAAATGAAATCTTTTTGACATCAAAGATTTCACATGCATTAAAAATATCACTTAAATTTCCAAATAACTTCTCCTTTCTTTTTAGAACCTCTAGTGTCTCCCATATTGAAGAGGCCTTATATTTGCTTAAATGCATGGTATCTGGCAGAGCAATGCACTAAACTCTGCCTTGTTGCTCCTTTCCAAACTCTTGGAAGTTGATCTGCAGAGGTATTTCCTGCAAATGGAGATAGCAGAGTTTGGACTGACATTCTTCCATGCTGTTATACAAAGTGATCTTGAGGATTTCTTCATTCCAACCTCAAGAGAATTTCCAGGATAAACGAGTCTGAATGTGCTTTAATGTTTTTACAATCTCTGCATGTCACTTTGGATATTATTGTGCAACTTAAATGCCCAAATCATTGAAAAACCAGAGGAACCCAGATGCTTTAATCACTTAAGGACTTGTGGAGCTCTAGCACAGTTTGAATATTTAATGTTTCCTAGCACCATTAATGACCATTAATAATTGCCTTTCGTTGGGGAGCACAGTCTCTTTAGCTTCCATCCATGCTTTTGGGGAGGATGAGACCCTCAAGAGTTTGGTGAGGACCAGATGTCCAACTCCCATGTCAGGTTTCAAATCACCTTTAAGGAAGCATGGAGTCAGTGCTTTGTGCTGATCCCATATTTGCTTAAAGCTGAAGTTTTAGGGGGAAGAAAGAGCCAAGAAGAGAGGGCAGTGATGCTTCCAGGGCTTCCCCACTGCTGGGGCTGCAGCTGCAGCCTCTGAGCTCAGCTGGGCTTTGGGGCTTTTAGAGACAAGAACTGTCCTAATGGCTGGTGGGGAGAGAGAAAAGCTGAATTGGCAGATTTGAAGAAAATAAGAAAATGGTTTTGTGTTATATATAGACTTCAGTGAAAGAAAATAAAGTCCAAAGGCAAAAAAAAAAAAAAAAGAAAAAAAAAAAAAGAAAAAGAGAAACCTTCATCCCCATTACCTGCAAATATCAGAGGTTTTTTCCTCAGGGGCTGGTGACTTCAGCAAGTGTTGGGGAGGGGAACCAGGACTGGATTTCACATGCTGGGTGCTGAATGCAGTTCCTAGCATGATTTTTAGCCCTGACTCCCCATCCAGCAACCACACTGGTCCCACTTGCAGTAGGTCCAAACGGGGAAGAGCTCTGGATGCTGGGATGCCCAGCCAGAGCATTTCAGGCACTGTGAATATTCCTGTTTTCCTGCCTGAGCAGGGGGAGCAGCACCTCTCTGCTTCAGGGGTGCAAGGATGGCCCTGTCAGGGGCAAGCACACTCCCAGCAGCATCCGTGTCATTGTTTGTTCAGTGTTTCTAACCCTTACATTTCTGCTCACACCACAGAGGTGTGGAGCAGAGCAAGCTGAAAGCAGAGCCTGAGTGGGGAATGGATTTTGGGCTGGAAACATCACTTTGCACCCCTGGGAAGTGGGGATTCAAGGCCCGCTCCCTCCTGTTCCTGCCATCATCACTGACCACAGTCCCACCCTGCCAGCCTCCCCCGTGTCCCCACAGTCCCTCCGTGGGTGACAACAGAGTCCACCACCCCCTGGCTGCACAGGCAGCCTGACCTGAACATCCAAAGACCTCTACATGGCCTTTTGAACTTTCAGTCATAAATCTGGGAGCTTAAGTCTGGTCATTAAATTCCTCCATAGCTTGCTGGAAGTGCATCAGTCATTTCTGAAAACAGTTCTGACTGGTTCCTTTTGTTCAGCATGGCAAAGCCTACAAGGGCTTGAATATGTCACTTGCTTTTGGAAATAGGACTGAAGAGCCCTCAGAAATGAAGAATTCCTGATCTTTGTTCCTCAGAGTTAGGGTAAGTCACTCACCTTGTGGTGGAAATACAAGACTGGGAATTTATTCTGATTTTCCCCTCTGCTCTAGGCAGCGTCATGGAGCTTGAGCACATTCCAGCTCTTGGTTCAAGCCAGCAGAACTCTTGGAAATGCAGAAAACTTTGCTTAGGTCTTAGCAAAGTCCTTGGGACACACCTTTCAGATGCCATCAGCACAGCTGTGTTTAAAGCTGGGGACAAGTTGGAGTCCTCTCTATGGCAAAGCCTAAAGACAGTGCCTTGAAAATGGAAACACGGAGAACACTCAGACCAGCAGAGAAGGAGTTGATTGTTTCACCTTCAAAGGCTGTATTTTATAAGTGTTATTTTTGTTCTGGGTAGGAAAAAAAAGCACAAACCCAAAAGCCCAAGAAAGATTCCTAACCAGTTAATAACCAACAGTGTTCAAGTACATTTATGTCCACATACAGCATTTGTTAAAAAAGAAATATTTTTTTTTGTGATTTAACACCTTTTTCCAAAAAAAAAAAAAAAAAAAAGAAAAAAGAAAAAAAAGAGAGAGACAATAAATTAGTGTAATAAATTAATGTACACATTACATTATTTTGGTGCTGGTATGGACCATTTTTAAAAACATTTGCTGTTAGCATTTTTCATGTTTGTACAAAATTGTAAACTATTTTCAAGTTTGTTGGTTTTTTTTCACTTTTGTTCATCATCACCTTTCAAAAACTGTCACTACAGGAACAGAAACACCCCAAACAAAACCCCAAAAGAAAATCAAGGCAGCTGTCCTTGCCCCTCCCCACCCTTTCCCTGCCCTCCCACCAGCGTCCCTAACAGCAGCTGAAGGAGACAGTTTTTGAAAGCACCTGGCAGCAGTTGGTGACCACGTCCTTCCCAGAGCCCTCCTGCCTGCCCTGGCCACCCACCAGTCACACCTTCCCACCTCTAGAGTAGACAAAGATGGCTCTTTAGGTCATTTTATTTTATTTCTTTGTTGGTTTTTCCCTTTTTTTTTGTTGTTTTGTTATTTTTTTTACAAAAATTTCTACATCTAAATCACTTTGCTAGAAACATTATTTTCTTTCCTTTTTTTTTCTTTTTTTTTTTTACATTGGTTAAAGCAGAATCTGCTTTTGTGAAAAAAGACAAGGATCAAGGTCTTATTTCATGCAGAAAAAGCAAATTAAAGATCATAAAAATGGGTGGTTTGTTCTGGGTTGGTTTTTTTTTTTTTCTTTCTTTTTTTTTTCTTTTTTTTTTTTTTTTTATAACACTGTACAGGATGCAACGCAGCCACTCAGAGCATGTTAAGATGGTTCACAGCAGTCCCTTTGATAGCACATTGACACTGACATTGATCCTCCTGCCCTCTTGCTGTTCAGCTGTTTGGATTTCAGGCCACAGCAATTGTCCCCAGTCAGAGAAGACACCGCAGCTCCTTCGTCTTTGGGAGGGAGATGGATGGGTGCAGCTGGAGAGGATGGGCCAGAAATGGAACAGATTTTCCTGGGAAGGATGCCCCAGCCCTGTTTTCATGTCTTTTTTTTGGTGCAACATCCCTGTAGTGAGCACACCGTGAAAGGGTGTTTGCCCTCCAGGAACTGGGTTCTCTTTTGGCAGGGGATGTGATTTCACACAAAGACACAATATGATGACATGCCAGGCAGTAGAAAAAGAAAATAAAAGTAAAACAACCCACCCCACAGACCAACCACAGCCCTGCCACCAGGGCCACGTGTATTTGCCAGAGGCTGGGATATTTCTGGGTGACTTCTCAGGCTTTCCTTTATCCTCAGTTTTTCCATTTTCTCCTCTAGCACCTAGCTGCTCATCCTCCCAGATTAGAAACCATTCTCTGTGACAACTGCTGAATCTTTCTGGGGGTTTGCTCCCTCAGAATCTCCCCTTTGGGCCTGCCAAGCACACCGGCCCAGCCCAGTGAGGCTGTCAGATCCAGGCAGGATTTCAAGGAGTTTTCCAGGCAGGATTTCAAGGTGCAGCTGTCAGGTCTGCTCCTGTGCTCAGACTTGAGCAAGACACGGGGCTTTGCAGGGCTGGGACTGTGTGGGTTTGATCTCTGCTTTGTCCATCCCTTTCTTGCTGCAGTGCAAGGGAAAGGGGAGAGGGAAAGGTTGCCAATTGCCTTGCTAACCTTGCTAGCCTTGGCAGGGGCTGAAACTCAGGGATTTGTGCCCAGTCTCTGCTTGTGAGAGGCTGTGGGACACATCTTCCTTCTGTCTGCCTCAAAACTCAAGGGCCACAAGGGTGCCAAGATGTCTGACAAAAGCCTGAAAGCTGCACTAGCAGAAGACCTGCTCCTGTCCAAAACAGCCCCCGTGGGTCCCCAGCTGTCCCTGAGGCAGGTAGCACAGTAGTCCCCAGACTTTCGGGTCCTGTAGGACACTGTTTCTGGAGAAGAGGTTAAAGCATCACCACTTGTGGCAGCACCAGCTCTCTCCCAAAGTGCACCTTGGGCCCCCACCTGACATGTCACGATATTGTGCTCCAGGAGTTCCCTGCTTGCCCCTGCACTGAGGCCTCTGGTCTCGCCAGGAGGGGCCATTGCCTTGGCAGGGCTCCAGCACAGCCAGGGGGTGGTGGTGAGGGAGAAAAGCCCAGCCCAAGGCACCATCCCTACAGGTGAGATGAGAGGACTGCCTTAAGGCCAGAGCCAAGACAAGCAGGTTCATCCCAACGTGGAGCAGAGCATCTGTCAGTGCAGGGGCAGTGCCAGCTCCCTGCTCTGTAGGCAGGAGAGCAGGCACAGAGAGAAGAGCCTCTGCCAACCTGAGCCAGGCTGTTCCTGCTGCTGCAAACCAGCCACTGCCCTTGCCTGAGGCCCCAGGGAGCAGCAGCATCACAACAAAGCACGCTCTCCTTCCCTGCTGGCCTGGCTTCCCCCAGCTCAGGGGTCCCCAGACCCTCCCTGCAGGCCCATCAGCACCAGGGCTGGGCACCATGAGCCACGTGATGGCAAATCCAGCAGGGCACACAGTGGGCAAGGCATGTCCAGAGGGCTGGGAAAGCCAAGGAAAAGATCTTTGGTCTTTGTGCCTGGACACTGCATCAGACACCCAGCAAGGTTCCCAAAAACACATGGACCCAGCATCTAATTAAGTGAAACAATTAACTCCCCACATTAGAGCACTGAGAGCTGGGAAGCATTAGGCTTCACAGAAGGCAAACCAACACTGTTTAAAACACATACTAGAAGAGCAATTACCATCCCCTTCAAAAAAATCAACGATACTCACCACTATACAGTTTCATCCATTCTGGGGAAAAAGTCTGTCAGCATAAATGCCAAGCTCAGCCTGTGCAAATGATAAAATGTGTATCCCTGGATCATAAATGGGTCTATCATGTCTCCTCTCCTCACTTTGTCACACACATATTCAGTATTATTCAGCGAGTGCTTTCTGCCCCCGGCACTGGCAAGCTGTGGCTGTCTTAGATGGGAGCAGCCAGCCCATGGCATGGGGCTGGGGAGGGGAGCTTTGGGATGCTCTGGGTCCACTGTCTCTGTGGTGACACTCCCAGATTCTGGGAGCAAGGCACTGCACTTTGTGGCAGAGCACAGTGCAGTTCAGGAGCTTGTGCTCACACAGGTCCCCGTTGTTTAGTCTCAGCAAAGCAGCTGCCCTTGGCTCCCCACCAGTCCTGGTGGCCTGGTCAGCAGCAGAAAGGGCTGATGGGGCTCTGGGGCTGCCCCACACTGATGCACTCCAGCCTTTCTGCTGAAGAATGGCCTTTCCTAAGAGGACTGAGACTCCCCTTAGGTCTGGCTTACACATAAAGTGTTGGTTTGCTTTGTTTTTTTCCTTTTTGTCTTGCTGCAATAACACAAACAACAGGACATTTATTGACCCTGCTGCAGAGAAGCCACCCTTTCTGCCCCATGGAGGCAAGACTGTCCTCTGCTTTTCCAAAGCACTAAACACAACACAGGCAATTCCAGTTCAGGCTCCCACTGCCTTTACTCCATCTGCATTTCCCCATTTATCCAGGGGACAGCTGACACCATCCTCCCCTCCTCACTACGGCTCCAGCTACAGTCAGGCATGATGCAGCTGCCTCTGGGAAGAGACCCTGTGCACAAGAGACTGGGGTTTAGCACACAGCCTCCTCCCGCTGGCCTCAGGGGTGGTGGGATCAAACACTGAAAAGTTACTTACATACCATCACTTCCACCTCTACTGCCCACCTCTTCTGTGCTGCACTCACAGTTGGATCAGGGAGCCAGCCCCAAGGTCACCATCCCAGCACCTCTGTGCAGGCACAGGCACAGCTCTGCCCTCCAATCCTGTGGGAAAAGTCTGGGGAAATGGTTATAGTAGCCTGAAGGTCAGTGCTTCTTTATTATACTTGTCACCTTTCAGCTGTTCTTCACTTCTGAATGTACAGAACCATTTTTATTTGGTTTACATCAAGACATTAGAAATCAAACAACTTTTTGTTTTTTCTTAAAAAAAAAAAAGGAACAAAAGGAAATGAAAAATAAAACCCAGCACTATATACATCTTCTTTTCCCCAGTCTCTGCTCCCCTCCCTCCCACCTTTTCCACCCTCCCTCCCTCCCTCCCTCCCAGCATCTGCGTTAGGTCCTGCTTCCAACACATTGGTTTCACATCTCTCACCCAAACCGTGCCCCCATCCCAACTTTCACATCTACTGTAAAGACATCCCGCCCTGCTTGGTAAGCCCAGCCTCCTCGCCCAGAAAGCATTTGGTAACCAGCAGGACATTTCTTGCCTCGTTTCTCAGCCGTGCCCCAGCCTGGCACTGCCCTGCACATCTCAGCCCAGCTCCTGCAACTTTGTCTGGATGCAGCTGATTGTCCCTGCCCCCAGGACTGAGCTCTGCTGATGGCCACGCAGCCTGAGTCTCCTGAGTCTCCCTCTTTTCCCTGTTCCTGACCTCCCTGTCCCCCGGAGAGGACAGGGACTGCTGCCATGGCTGGGCTTCCTGGAGTGCTGCCTGCAGCTGTACCCAGCCTGTCTGACTCAGGGATGTCCCCAGTGCTCCAGTCCCTGCAAACCTGTTGTATTGCACATATATTTTCAAAAGCTTTCTCCTATTTGCTCTGCTTCTGAAGTTACAGCTCTCTCCTACCAACCACCTTTTCCTCAACCCACCCTCTCCATCAGATTCCAGTAACCACCTTCCCTAAAGCCACTGTCCTTTGGTCTGCAGCTCCAGAGGTTTCTCTTCTGTCTGAAAACAGCTCAGAGATTTAAACACCTTCCTCCACCCCACAACAAAGAGAACAAAACCAGCTCCCTTCCCCACCCCGTATCTCCTCCTGCCAGACCCTCTGGAGCAGATCTGGACAAACAGACTGGCCAGATCAGTTCCCTTCCTGGCTCTGGTTCTGGGAAGTGGATGTGCTGTCCATTGGACAGAGGAAGTGCCAAGCCTTGGCAGGTTCCCTACTTATTTGCAAGGCATAAGCTGCTGGCGTGGTGTCAGATGTGCATGCAAGAAAGTTGGATACCATTAAAAACCTACAGTCCTGTTTGTTTCATGCACTGTCAACTTATCCTATATACACTACTGGCTGGTTTATGCTCGAAGCCATGAATAGAAAGGTTTACATCTTCCTTTTCCCTCAGTAACCAAAGCTTTTCTCTCACCCATGGAATAGCAGGGGTTTGCTAGCAGGGCTCATTTCTGCACTTCCTCCCATTGTCTTTTCATTTCTCAACACTCAAGGCGGAGGGGGGATAGGAAGGGGACAGGCAGAATTACAGTCCCAAGGTCCCAGTCACTAAAGGTCCCTGAGTGACAGCACTATACAGTATCAGAAAATGAAGCAGTAGAGTTGTGTTGGCCATGTATGTCCTGAGAGAGATTTCATTTCTATTTCTGCTCCTCCTCCTCCTCTTCCACATGCCTTCTCTAGGCTGTTACACATGGAAAAGGTGCAAAACATTCTCCCCCGGCCCGGCTCCCTCAGGCAGCCCAGAACACCCCTGATGTTCAAATGCTAAAAAACACAACCCAGCAAGCAGCAGTCCTGCCCCAAGCTGCCAACAAACCAAGCCCTGAGCATTGCCTTCTGCACCACTGCAGCAAAGGTCAGAAGCAGCTCCACTTTGGAAAAGCACTCACAAAGCCTTTTGTCCCCCTTTCCCCTCTGTGAAGAAGAGGAGGGGAGCAGTGGGCACGCCAGATGCAGCATGGAAAACCCTTCCACCTTCCTGGTAACACGTGCTTGTGATGGCTTGAAACCTCTGAGCCTTGAGCATCAGTAAAATGCCTCGTTTTTCCTTCACTGGCCCTCGACACAAGATGGGTTTGTTGCCTTCCTTAGGGGTGGATTGGAGGCAGGCAGCTGTGGAGGGGGAACAGGGAGGTGCCACCTCACTTTGTGAGCAGAGCATTCCTAAAGGCCTTCAGCATCCTTCCCTCACATTTCCTATTCCTCATCCCACTCCCAGGACTCTCTGTTGTTCTCCAGCACTCTGCCCCATCAGCAGCAAGTGTAAGGCAGCTCCTGAACCGTGCCCAGGCCTGACCACACACTCTTTGGCAAAGATTGTTGTGTCGGACCCAGAGTCCAGGAGTCTGGATGTACTGACTGTGTGTAACACTGACCTGGAAACACCAAGTTAGAAACATTCAAAGAGAGAAGCTAGGATGACTCCTGATAAGAAAGAGAACCCAGTCAACAGAGAACTGGGGCCACAGTAGAGGAGTCTGGCTCCCAGTCCCAGCAGGTGAAGAAATCTGCTAAGCAGTGCTTTTTTCCCTGGAAAGCTTTTGGATTGTCACTGGGCTCAATCCTGGATTGAAGCCTCAAATATTAAACACAGCCTCCCTGTGCCTGATCTCCAGTCTCTGGAGGCTGTACCTGCAGGGCACTGGTCACTCAGGACCCCACCCCGTGTGGGGCTCAGCACCCGAGAAGCAAAGAGCATCAGTGGGGTTTGCATCATCTGTGTGCTGCTGGCCCTGCCAGCCTTTGGGGCCAGCTCAGACAGCCCTCAGGTGCCAAACTCATGCCACACATTCGTCAGGTTTTACTACAACTGTCAGATTACTGCAGTTCCTGAGTCATCTTCCTCAGCTTCAGAATTTCTTACCCCACAGCCATTTGTTCTCCCTCTAATCTTAATAGGCTCTTTAAACTGCCTTTCTCTCCCCAGTTTTATCATTCTGACCACCCTCTACATTGCAATCACATATATAAAGGGTAAATTTTAGATATTTTATTTAATCATTAATCACTTGGTTAGACTCTCCTTGCAAACTGGACCTGCTGATAGGCAGTCTCCATGTGGGAACTGCAGCCATGCCATGCTGATATCCACTGGCATTATACTGCTGCTGTCATAAAGCACAACTTTACGACTCCCATTAAAGCATTTAAAAGATATTTCTGAATAGAATCACACTAGAAAGCATAACTTTCTCCACTGGCCAAGGTTTCAGTTCCTGCATATCAGGTAGAACTACCTGATTCTCCAACTCTTATACCTATACAGACCCATGAACTGCAGCAATTTGGGGAAAACCCATCCCCAACAGCACTGCTCATGGATGGGGAAACCAGCAGGAGACTGTTCTGCAGGACAGGGGAGAATCTAAGTCTGATTTAACAATTGTGCTAAAACCTTGGTGAGTCCAGGGAGGCCTGGACCAAACGTGTGCATGCATGAACATGAGAGAGGGGACAGACACGTGGGGAAGGGGGGATGCTCTACTCTTATGCTTCAGATTCTGCATAAGACACATTACTGATATAAAAATAACAGTGATTACTCTGATGAGGCCTGATCCTGCTTCAGCCAAGTCCAGGCAAAACTTTCCCTGACTTCAGTGTTACTAGGTCAGGCCTGAAGTGATTCATATTTTCATAGTACAGACATAAATTAGTGAATTAAAGATGTGCATCAGGGTCATCTGAAAAACAGGAGTTTCCCTGGTCTCAGAGGATCACTCTGCTCTCCCAAGCAATGGGAATCAAGAAAAAGGGAGGAGAATGCTAGCAGGAAAATAAAAGGATGGTTGGCTAAAGGGTGTCCATGGGTCTGACACGAAAAAACTCTATCAGGTAAGAAGAAGGTTCTCATCATTACTCCAGAAATGGCAGAATGACCTAGGGTTAAAGTTTTGCACTTGTGAATTTAACATTTTCATGGCTTTTATTAATATTATAAGGGAGATTATCAATCATCAGTGATTGCCAAAGTGGCCAATAATTCAGTGATTTTCCTGAAAGTCACTGGCTCCTTTGGAAAAATCTGACCTTGCAGTCCAAGGCCAAGTTCCCCTCCTGTACCTTCCTCATGGATGGAAGCTGCTGGAGACTCAGCAGCTTCCCCAGACTTCCACAAGCACCAAGCTCAGCATTTTCACTGCAACCTTCACCCTGCCCAGCCTTTGGAGACTATCATCGTCCAGCAGGATGATGCTCCATGGAACTCTACCTCATCCTCAGCTCCATCACCTGCAAGGAGGGCCACAGGGTGCTTTTTTCTACACTCTGTACATCTTAACAGACATAAAATGAGGTCTGGTAGAAGCAGCACAGATCAGAGGCTGCCAGCCCACCATTCACTCCTGAATTTCTTAGGAAAGGGGATCATTATCATTTCCCTACTTTTTTCATCCTGAAACATAACGAAGTTAAACGATATCCAGCCTTTCCTGTGCCTTGATGCAGGCTATGGTCACTCAGAGGGCTGGAGTGTGGATCCATTGTCTGGCATAAGGAACAGGGAGAACAGGAAAGGGTTGAATTTTTAGAGTCCTGCAACTGCTTTTCTCTCCAGACTCAGTAAGGAAGATGCAGGGTGGGAATAACTAGGAACAGCCCCTCCTCTGAGGACTGAATCAGCTTAGTCTCCTCGAGATCAGATGCCAGCAGTGAACAGCAGCACTGCCCTACTGCTGATCCCCAGATCCCTCTCTTCCCTCAGCAAGTGCCAATCTGCACACTTTGCCTCCCCAGCTCTGCCTCTGGAGCTGGGACCTCCAACCTGGCAAAGCTGCAATGAGCAAACAAACCCCTGCTATTCCCTCCCCCCAAACACACTGCCAGTTAAATGTCACCTGTGTTCTCTTTCTACAAAAGGTATTACAAAACCCCCCTCCCCAGCCCCCCTCCCCAGAAAACATGCTTGCACACACACATCCATGGACACACCTGCCCACACACACACACACACACACACACACACACACAGAGATGCTCCACACACACGCATTCACACAGGAAAAACAGCTTGCAAACTCCTGAAGGTGGAAAAAGGCATCTTGCAAATGTGCCTTGGTTTTGATAAGTTCCCTCCTCCCTCCCTCCCTCCCATAAACCCCACATTGCCCCTTCCCTCCCAAATAATTGCCTCCTCTTCCCCCCCTTCCCTTCCCTTCCCAGCTCTTCCAAAATAAATATTCTTTTTATTTGTTGGTTTAAAAGACTCTTTTAGGCTTGTAAGCAAGAGAGAGGGAGAGAGAGAAAAAGAAAAGAAAAATCTCATAGCGTGAGAATGAAACCCCATCATCTCATGAATACATGAAAGAATAAACATGAAGGGGTTAAGAGCAGTGACAGAAGAAAGATTTAAAATATATATAATAAGAGTGAAAAGTGAAAGATGAAATTCAGTAGTGAAATGGAAGTGAGGATAGAGCATAAGTGAGCACAGCCAAAGATAACCTATCGCCCCAACCAGTTTTTGACTCAATTTCTTTAAATCTCCCCCCTCATTTTTTTTTTTTTCTTTTTAACTTTTCTTAGTTTTGGCATTTTTTTGTGGGTTTTTTTTCTTTTTTTTTCTGTCTTTTTTTCTTTTTTTTTCTTTCTTTCCTTTTTTTTTGGTTTTTGTTGTTTTTGTTGGTTTGGTTTTTTTTTTTACAATGGTGTAAGTCCTTCAGCAGGAAACCAAAATCAAGACAAACACATCCCTCCCTGAAACCAAACCCCCTCCCGTACCTTTCTCTCCCTTTACCCCACCCCACACTCCGTGGTTCTACATGTGCTGAAAAGAGAAGAGTAAGCTTAGAATAAATCTAATGAACCATAGGAATAAATGACAATGATAGTAAAGAGTAAAACCCAAACCCAAAAGACCACAACACTCCTGTGTTGTCATTGTCTGAGCGTCTGTCCCTATTATCTCTCTCGGAGGCCGCAGGCATCAATTTACATAGTACAACCAGTAAACAAGGTTGAAGAATCCAAAAGTGATTGGAAAAATGATCCGTGACCACTTGTCAATGGTGCTGACGTCTGTCAGGTCTGGGATTTTGAGCTTCAGCTTGGAGGACCGCCGGCGCAGGCGGCAGTTGGCGCGGTTGCGGGCGGCGGCGTGGTGGCTCAGCGGGACGTGGCGGTCCAGGGTGGGGTGGTGGCCAAAGCCATCCCGAGAGGCCAGCGGCTTGCGGAACTGGATTCCTGAGCCTTCGAAGGACATGACAGAGTTTCGAGAGTCGCCCACGCTGCTCATCATGTCCGTGGCCAGCAGCTCGTTGTTCATCTCCAGCGTGCTGAGGAGGATGTTACCGTAAGGGTCAACCTGGAACAGGGAACACAGACACAGAGGTACTGGGGTGTCCTGTGCACCATTAGGGGGGATTCTGAACAGATTTCTGGGGAGTAATACTGTTGGAAATGATGTGTCTTATAAACTTTTAAATTAACTTTAGTCATGGGTTGTTTTGCCTTTGCCAAAGGGGGGTAGAAATTGAGGTTTCTCTTCAAAAGATTCTGTTCATCAAGGGTCTGAGTCTCAGTGGGTGAGGCCTCAATCAACAAAAAGAAGATTCCTAGATTCTGAGAGCTTAATATCTACAGGTTGGAAGTAGCCAGACGACACACAGGAGATAGAGAGACATTAACAGATATTGAACCCCTGGCAGGTTCCCAGTCTGGGAAAAGATTGATAAGAGAGCCAAAGAATGGGGACCAAAAATAGCATTGAAGGTGAAGGAATCAGTAGCCAATAGGAGATCAAATACTAAGAATTGTGTAATGCAGAACCAAAGAATGAGATTTCTTTGGGGTTTTTTTTAACATATAAATATGTGAAAATGCTGGTAAATAATCACATGTGGTTGGAATAATTTCCACTGTATATCCTAGCCAGAATAAAGTAATGCCTGACTCATTAATACTTAAAAGATGGTGTTGAGGAGTTCCTTTTCTTCCCCAGAGTTTGGTGACCATATCCCTGATGGGGTCATTTGTGAGCTCTGCACATGCTGCATTTGGGGGTTGTCCTCTGCTGCTGGGGTAGAACGAGCAGCCACCCGTGCTTGCAGCAAATTTTTTAGTGGGGGTAGTGTGATTCTGCCAACACAGGAGGACCTAAAACCACAGAGGGACTATTGGCTGCCCCATGCAAGGAGGAGGATTCTGGTGAGACTGGATGAGGATGATCAAGGTGGAAAAATTCCCAGTAATCACCAGACAAGAGAAACTGGGGTTCATCTCTAGCGATGAGCACAAAGGCTGCTGCACAGCTCACCCAGTGGAGAGCCTGAATTCTCCTGGCACAATGAAAGGAGAGGACAAACCTGCTCTCTCACCCTCTTCTCCTCGTAACGGTGGCGCTCGTTGTTGGCCTTGCTGACGCGCTCGCTCTGCTTCTTCTGCTGCCGCGGCCCTCGCCCGAAGAATATGTAGTTGACAAAAGCATATTCCAGGAGTGCCAGGAACACGAAGACGAAGCAGCCCATGAGATAAACATCAATAGCCTTGACGTAGGGGATCTTGGGCAGAGTCTCCCGCAGGTGGGTGTTGATGGTTGTCATGGTCAGCACCGTGGTGACCCCTGTGAGGAGAGGGCAGGTGCTCTGTTACCCACACGGGATGGTTTCCTGGAATGTTGTTTGCAGCTCCTTCATCCCTCCTTCCAGCTGGACTGCCTCAGGAGGGATGGGAGCAGTGTAACTGGGAACGAAGCTGTGATGATTCTAAGCCCACATGCCCACTACAAATTGCTGCAGAAAATGATCCAGCAGCAAGCAGCTGGAGAAAATCTCAAAGCTGACCATCATCAGTATGATGGGGATCAGTATCCCTGTTTCTTTAAGTTCACCTGATCCTCCCTCTTTCTCTCAGTCAGGTAGGAAACATTCAGTTTTGCTCTTTTTTACCCTCTTCTCCTTTTTTTAGCTTCATGAACTCATGAGGCTTCATTGTGGGCTACTGAATGCCTCAGCATCCTTGGCATCATGAGTTTATAAGCTGCTGTGTCTTTCCAATGCCACGGATTGGAGAAAGAGTGAAAAGATTTCCTCTTCATGACACTCTCTTTTTTTTGTCTGCCTTGTAGGCTTCTGTCCTTGACCCCATCAGTTCCCACCTTCCTCTCAGCAGCTTTACCATTCATTACATCAATTATCACTTGTACACATTCCTCCCATGGTTCTCACACTCTCCCTTTTAGGCCTCCTCACATTTCTTGCATCTTAAATAAGCGTTTTGTGAACACTTTTGTCCCCATCTACTCAGTTCCAAAAGCCTGATTCACTATGATTTCTCTCACAGCTTCAGTCCTCTTCTTCAGCTTCTTCGAGCTTCTTCTCAGACTCTTCCCTTCTCTGGACTGTCAGAGTGGCCTCAGACCTCTTTGACAGCCTTCTGCCAGCTCCAAAGACATGGCAATGAACCTTCATCCTTCTCTTGGGGTGATAACTCTTCCTCTTCAACCTAGCCTTCCTCTGCTTCTCTAGCTGTTCTTTCTACCTTGCTGATGTTCTTTTCTCCTTTTTCCTTCTCATCTCCCTGTTGGCAGCTCTAACAATCTCCATGACCTTAATTTTCTCCTGTGGTTTGAGCCCCACCTGTACAGTGATGGCTCCCTGTGCAGCCTGGACCTCTGCTTGGCCTGCTTCCCCTTCACCCTCGCTGTGTCTTTGGTGTCACGCCTGATAACAGACTGAGAGAACTATTAGCCTTCAGCTGGGTAAACAGAAGGGAGATATATTTGTATACACACAATATGGTCTATATTTAGGCAGTAGTTTAAACATACAGAAATCAGAGGCAAGGAAAGAGGACATAGAATGTTCTCTATGTCTCCATTAAGAAGTGGACAAATCGCAACGGAGACTTAGGGCAGAGGCAAAGAGGAACTCTTTGACTGTGTAAGCAGGTAAATCTGGAGGTAAAGTGACCAGAGGAGGCTGTGGAGTTTCTTTTTTTGGAGCTTTTTATGGATAAGTTAGGTCGAGAACTGTCAGGAATAGTTTAGGGAGAGCTGTTTCAGTTCCGATCTACAATTTTTTTTCCCTGTCTTCTCCTTTGAGTCCAGATATCAGCAGAAATTCAACAGCTGTGCATCTCGCCTCCACCCTCTTGCTTGTGCTTTCACAATGTCTGCCATGGTCTTTTTTTCTTCTCTCTCTGATTACATTCCTGTCAATACAACTGACCCTTTTAATTTACCAAGTTCTTTTTCTTCCCTCCCTATCTCCCTGCTCCAGCCTCTCCAAGCAGGCAAAGCCAAATCACCTTTTTTATACCTTTGTAGAACCCATCCCTCCTCTGAGTCTTCTCAAACTCTTTCTCCTCGAGCTACTTGAAGCCCCCGAGCTTTGCTGTAAGACTCAGCCTCTAGCTGAGCTGCACTGCCTCTCTGAGCCGTGTCCCACTCAGAGATCCAGCCCTGCTCCCTCCTCTCCTCTCCTACTGCCTCAGAACTTTCCCTCGTGTCGCACAGCCCCATTCTCATATGCCAGCCATCCCCCCTTTCTCCTGTTCCTCCTTCCAAACCCTCATCTGCCATCCACCCCCACTTCCCTTCTGTGGCGTAAAAACCTCGTTTCCCCCCTCTTATAGGAAAACATTCCTATTTAGGGGAGCATGTGCCAAAGAAGAACTTGGACTTTAACTACTGTCCCACATTTGCCTTGGCCTAGAAGGTCTTCTTCTGCAGAGTGTCTGCATGGGGCCTGAGCTATCAGAAAAACGTGCCATGCCCCTTCTTTTATTTCTTTCATCTTTTAACCATTCCCATACAACTTTTTGGCCGTCCAGCCTCAACAATCATCAAGCAACTGACCACTCCTGGCACACTTGTTGACAAAGGTGCCCAGATTTTTCTTCTTAAGAAAACCAGTGTAAACCAGAGCGAAGGAACTCAGGGCATGTCCCACGAACCTGAGAATCAGTGACCATCTATATTTCTGTTTAGAGTTTAAACTCACACCCAGGAAATTTTTGGTAGGACTTTTACTGGTTCAAATAGAACAGACTCCAGTTTGGGAAGTATGAATAAAAAAAAATAAATTAAAAGAAAACTCTTCTGACTTAAAATTTAAAGTTTTTCTCAGAAAAAAAAAAAAGTCCATTTGGGATGACAACTTTGACAGGCTTGCTTAATTGCTACCTCATAAAGAAAAGGGATTTTCTTTGTTACAGCTGATGGCCCGCAAGAAAACATCCCCAAAATACAATGAAAAGGTCCATACCCAGTGCCACTCGTGCTGCAGAAGCATCATAGTTGATCCAGAAGGAGACCCAGGACAGGATGGTGATGAGGATGGATGGCATGTAGGTCTGCAGGATGAAGTAACCAATGTTCCTCTTAATCCGGAAACTCAGGGATAAGCGCAGATACGAACCTGCCAATGAGACATCAAAGGAGGATGTGGTGGGAGAGGAGGGAAAGGCTGGATTTCTGCTAAGAGCTTAGGTTAGGAACTGAAATTTTATTTGGAAAGAGTTCTCCAGAGGCAGGAAAAATGAGAAATCTCCTGTTTTCTGCAGCTGGTTTTGCAGACTGGTCAATTTTTGCAGGGGGTCCCTTCGGAATCTGCTCAGTTTTCCCAGAGTATTAAGAAGAAAAGAAACTCTACATAAGTCACATTATTATATCAGCCATCATGGGAGAATGGCTGTTCAGTGCTGGAATTGCTATTATGGTGCCAGCCAATATGATGGAGGCTTACACAGGAGACTTTAACCCTATATTTGGGTGCCCCGAGATGATTTTCCAATGTTTCATGTGCCAGCTCTGCCTCCAAACAGCAATGAAGATCTGAATCATATTTTTCCCATGCTGTTCTAAAAATAGGTTATGGTCAGACTGGGCAAATTCATATGCAAATAGAGAACTGTTAGTTAATCTGAAGGTCTCTTTTTTATTATTTTCAAGTTGTTGCAACTTCTTCCTAATCTTTTAGCAAACCTAATGAGGATAGTGAGGACAATAAGTACTTTTTACAGTCCTTCCACTGGAGCAGGCTAATTTTGACAAGGACAAAGCAGTGCCTCTTTCATTGCTGTCAGACAAAGTCCAAGTCATTCCTCCTGCCCACCTCTGTCCCTCAGGCAACACAGGAGCCTGAAATATGGGTGTAATCCTGGTTGGCAGCTAAAGTAACAAGAAAACATCTAAACCATCAAGGATGTAGATTGGGAAAAAGGAGGTATTGTTCTCTCACCACCATGTGCCTCTTATATGGCTTGAACACAGTTTCACAGTTTCACAGTTTCACAATTTCGTATTTCACCAGTCTTTTTTTGACAGGTGTGTGCTGTGCTCTTTCAGCAGTGAACTCCACCTCAGACCAGCAACCAAAATCCAACTCCCTCCATCTTTCCAGCTGGCAGCATCTGACTCGTCCCAGGTATTCTCTCCAAACCATTTTATTGCCATGTACAGATGGGTTTGCATAGTTTCATAGCCCACTTGCTTCTCAATGGATATATTTTCTCCTTACTATTGCACCTACATTAGCTTTGAGACCCAGATGTAAACCACATAAAAATCAGATGAAGGCTGAGAACCTTCTGAAGAGGTTCTGAGCTCACTCAATATTTTGACTAAGAAATGGGAATAATTGCAGTGGGGAAAATGATCTTGAAAGTTTTTGAAGAGAAGCAGACATTAAAAAAAAAAAAAAAGGAAAAAAGCAAAGCTGGTGGGTGCAGAAGTCACTTTTTGGTTTTTTTTTGTTTTGTTTTTTTTTTTTTTGAGGAACCCCAAGGTGAAGCCTAGATCCCCAGCATTTGAATCAGAGGGATTCAGACCAGTTGATCAGCAGCAGCTTTGCCCATTCCTTCACCAGACTCACCAGTGGTGAAGACCACTTCCCTGCTGACCAGCCTCTGCTCGATGATGGTGAACTGGGGCAGCTCCAGCACCTCCATCCCCGTGACAGCAGAGTCATTCCCTTGCCAGAAGAAGACAATGTCATCCACCGTGTAACCATCTGCAGGGAGGAAGGAGCACACAGGGAGAGCTAAGCTGACAGGCTGGACCAGATGACATCTTCATTTGCACTAAGGTGATCTGGAAAAGGATCCAAAAGAAAGCCCACACCAAGCCTAGCCTCTCCCTGCTGATGTACTTTCATTCTTCAGCTGAGCTTGGCAGTACAGTCCCCAGGAGAAGAGGAAAAACTGGCCAGAACTCCCACTTCTGGCTAGAATTCAGAGCAAAAGGTGAGGCGTGGCCCATCCAGCCTTGACTTGCACCATGTAATCTCCATGGCTGACGTGACAGCAACCTGAGCGCCAGAAGCCTCTGTCAAATGCACCAAACACAGCATTTTGCTTTTTAAAAACTGCCTCCTTTTGCCAGGAGGGGGAGACCACACAGTACAGACTGGTGGGACTGGGTACACAGGGCAGCTCAGTATTAAACATTCCCAGAGACAAGAGAGCTACAGCAGCAGCTGAAAAGAAGTTTGAAGACGAGAGCACCTCCCTTTCCTAAGTCCTCTCAGTCAAAATTCAAATCCAAGAAGTGAACAGAGTCTCTGAGGCTGGGGGCTGTTTTACCAAGTGCTGGCTGAGAAGAGCAATAATGGAAGAAGAGAGGAAGGGGAGCCAGACTCAAATATTCATCCCTTACATTTCGCGTCCATGGGTTTGCTAAGTCAGCCAAGCTTCTTGCTTTAACCCCAAAATACACATGGCAGACAGGGCTGCATGGGCTGGAAATGTGACCCCCAAGTGCTCTGGACTCGTGGGGGATGAGGGCCAGGGGATGAACCCATGAAATCCCTCACCCACCAGTGCGGTGTTCACAGCCCTGCCCTGTCCTGGGGGCAAGGATTCTTCACGACTTGAAAATCAACAGTGCTTGTGTGTTTTGAAGCCCTTTGGCTGTAGCTGCTCAGAATGTCAGTAAAGCTTCCTGGGAGCAGTAGGACATGGCCAGGCTTTGAGCAGCTCGGGGTAGGGCTGCCTTCAGAGCGTGAGCCTCACCTGTGCCCACTGGCAGCCTGTGTTCAGCACCTGCACTGCAGCACAGAGCCTGCCTTGGCCAGCCACCCTCGCTGTGCCAGGCTCACTGCCACTGGGAGCGTGCCACCACAGCCAGGGCAACGAGGAGCTGCTGCATGTGCCACCGAGGAGAACTTCTGCTTTGGGGGTTACCCCAGATCAGAGGTGAACCTTCGAGGACAGTGCCATCCTGAAGCTCCCGAGTGGACAAAGGGCTCAGCAGTCTGCTCTGATCTCACAGCTGACCCTGCTCTGAGCTGCAGGCTGGACTAGGGACACCCCAAGGTGTCTTCCCAAACGGAATTATTTGATGACTGTGCAGTCTCTAAGCCCACATCCTGCGCTCTCAGTCATTACTGCACTTGTTCACGGGTGCCAAAATATAAACCCGATCTTCCAAATGCCATGCCACATCTGCTTCTGGTGGAAATCAGCCAGGGCTCCACCTCCTCCCCTTGCTGTTCCTGCTCCCAGAGTGCTAAACCCTCACACCTTGGAGCCCACAGGGTTTGAGGACCCTTGGGTTATCCTCTTCACACACCAGCTCTGTGCAAGGACCTGGTGTTTGCATCACTCAGCCCCCGGGCTGGAACAGAAACACCCAAGTCCCCCCACTCCTCCCGGTGGCCGATTCCAGCAGCTCCAACACCCTCCCAGCTCAGAAACCTTGTGAAGGATTTCACATCGGAATTCACCTGCCTCAGACTCTCAGGCTCCCATGGTTGTCCCAAATTTCTCCAGGAGGTTCCCGAGCCCTTTCCCGCAGTGTTCATGCTCTGCAGGGGTGAACCCAGCCTGGAAACAATTCACCTCTCCACCTCCTTTGCAGCAAACAAACCAGACTGAGCTACTGATGTTTCTCACTGCACAACATCTGCTCCAGCTCTTGAACCACTTTTTAGCATCTTCCCTCAACCTCTTCCGGTTTCTCAGCTTCCTCCCTAAATTTTGGAACCCAACCACAGACAGTGTTGCCCATCTCAGTGACATGTTCAGAGCCAATCAGTTCTGAGCTCTGACTCACGGTTCCCCTGGTTTATATAACAGGGCTGGCTCCAGCCTTGTGCCAGAGCCACAGAACCTCCAGCCATGGTGCCTCCCTCACCTCCCCGTGTGGCTCCAGCCCCGGGTGTGGCCCTGCAGTCCCACACGGGCACAGAGCTCTGCACTTGCTGTGCCCAAAGCCCTTCCGGATGGATTCCGACTGGGATGGATTCAAATGCGCAGCGAGCGAAGCCCCGCACGCTGCTATCTTCATCATCCACAAATTTAACAGCAGTGACTTCAAATTTACTTCCTGATCAGCAATGAAAATGTCAAATTATGGTAACTAATTTTAGGAGATCTCACAGTTAACTAGCTCTATTCCGTTTATTCTATGACCTGCTGGTGTTGGGTACCAATTTTTGTATTTTTATTTTTTTTTATTATGGCATTATGCAATATGAAATCAAGCATGTTTTTCATGAAGCCATTTAAAAAAAATGTTTCTAAAGGGAAAGGTTGCTTGGTCTAAAAATAAATGCTTCACTTTGATTTCTAGCTTTAAAGAGAAAACTAAATTTCCATTTCACTTCTAAAAAGTAAACGAACTTTCACAAAGACAAGTCATTTCCATCTGAAATATCGAAAAGTATTGATATGACGTCTTAAAATGTCAGATTAGCAGCCTGTTTGCAGCCTGCCTCATCAGGATTTTGTTGGATCCTGACACACAGATAGGCAGGGGTATACGTGGTGAGAGTTCTTTTTGGGGTGAAGGGATGGGATCAACAGGCAGTGCTTATCTCCTACAGATAAGGGCCCTGAGCTTCTGTGGGGCAGGTGACCCCATCTGCCTTCTGCTGCTTCCCAAACCCAGCACCCCTGCATCAGAAAAGGGCTTTTTCTCTGAGGTTTGGCTCGGTTTTGTTTTTTAAAATACATTGGTTTTATAATCCAGCCCTAAAAGGACTGATGTTCCAGAGTCAAGTGGAAGCAAAGAAAATGGAGCCCTGCAGATTGAGAATGTGCAAGTGTGTAAAAGACAAAAGCTCTGAGGGAGGAAACAATTGGATCTCTTCATTTCGGCCTTGGTCTCAGGAATATTGTGTGGAAATGCAGCTTTGATGAACAAATTGGCTGGACATGACCCATTAAGAACAAAATCGCAACACGGGGAACTGTGGGTAATTCCCTGCCTTCTGTTTCCTTGGTTGTACTGTAAACTGTTCCCAAACTGCTGAGGAGTGGCAGGAATGACATTCTGGCACTCGTGCCTGCAGCAGGACCCCATTTCCATCCCGTGAGCCTGCACGGGCAGCATGGGCAGGACAGCTCCCAGCCACGGCTGCTGTGGGAGCTCCCTGATGGACGGAGCAATTCCAGATCCCTCCGTGATGGATGGAGCAATTCCAGATCCCTCCCTGATGGACGGAGCAATTCCAGATCCCTCCCTGATGGACAGAGCAATTCCAGATCCCTCTCTGATGGACAGAGCAATTCCAGATCCCTCCCTGATGGAAGGAGCAATTCCCAGCCCCGTCCCTGATGGACGGAGCAATTCCAGATCCCTCCCTGACGGACAGAGCAACTCCAGATCCCTCCCTGATGGAAGGAGCAATTCCCAGATCCCTCCCTGATGGAAGGAGCAATTCCAGATCCCTCCCTCATGGAAGGAGCAATTCCCATCTCCCTCCCCGATGGACGGAGCAATTCCAGATCCCTCCCTCATGGAAGGAGCAATTCCAGATCCCTCCCTCATTGAAGGAGCAATTCCCATCTCCCTCCCTGATGGACGGAGCAATTCCAGATCCCTCCCTGACGGACAGAGCAACTCCAGATCCCTCCCTGATGGAAGGAGCAATTCCCAGATCCCTCCCTCATGGAAGGAGCAATTCCCAGATCCCTCTCTGATGGACAAAGCAACTCCAGATCCCTCCCTCATGGAAGGAGCAATTCCAGATCCCTCCCTGATGGAAGTAGCAATTCCCAGCCCCCTCCCTGAAGGAAGGAGCAATTCCCAGATAATCCCTGCTGTGGCTGGAGCTCTGGTGCCCCGGACAGCCCTGGAGGGAACCAGCCATGCATTTCTGTCAGGGAGCTGGACCTCCTCTGCCAGCACTGGAAGAGGATTTCCATGGGCATCCAGGGAACATCCAGGCAGGGATGAGGGCTTGGGTACCACCTCCCACACGGAGTGGAGCCAGCCATGAGCAAGGACACCTTCCTTAACGCTAAGGGAGGCTTCCACCACCCTCCTGGGACTGATTTGAATGCCCGGCCTGCTGCTAGAGCTCCGTTTTCCTGGGAATTTCCCCCATGGGTGAGGGAGCCTGGTGCTGCAGCAGCCCTGGGGGCATCCCCAGGAGCAGGGAGCTGTGGCAGGGGCGGGTGGCATCAGGTGGCACCGCGTGGCAGGGGATGTGCCCGCGGCATACGCACAGCTCTCGATCTCCAGCGTGCAGTTCTGCTGGTCCAGCGGGTACCTCCGCAGGTCCATCATGCAGGCGGCCGTGGTGGTGATCCTGAAAGGGGAAGAGGGACAAAAATACAATAAAATTGAAAAACCAATAAAATCTGTTGTGTCTGCTTTTTTCTTACCAAAAAAAAAAAAAAAAAAAAAAGGAAAAAAAAAGGAGTAATGCAAGGCAGAAGTGAAAGTCAGGCAGCATTTGGGGCCGCTGTTTCCCTGGAAACCAGGGAGATCCGGGGTGGGAGGTGTGCAGGGCGGGGGGCTGATGCAGCTCACCCCCAGTGGCACGGCACAAACCCTCCGTGACTCACGTCAGCAAGGCAGCATCTCTATTAACGGGGTGGGGAGGGAGCTGTGCTCCTGAGCTGCCTCTCCCTGGAGAGAGACAAAGAACCAGGAGCAGGCACAGCCCCGGCTTTGGGGGGGAAGAGGAGAGGCTGCCGGTGTGGAGCAGAGACAGCAGACATGAGGCCCAGGGTGGATTGATTCCATCACCCAGCAGTGACCTACTGCTGACCACACTGTCACCCCCTTCCCTCACGAGCTGCCCCAAACCCCCTAATTACAGCCCCGTGCCCCTCCATCATGCCCACTTTGGCACTGCCAACCCCAAACCCCAAAACCCCAGAGGGCTCACAGAGCCTTCCCGCTCCACAGCCCCGCTAACGGAGACACCCGTCTGCAAATGATTGTGTGGTCAGCAAAGACACTTGGGGATGTGTGTGGGGCTGTGTGCATCCCCCCAGAAAATAAATATGGGGAGAGGATGAGGGTGGGTGCTGCTTTGGGGTGTTGGAGCACGGGGAGGACACAGAGCAGCGCAGTGCCCGTGCTGAGGTTCAGCTGAGGATGCCAGGAGGGTTGTGTGTGTTGTACAGGAAGGAATGTTGTACATCTCTGAGATGGGGGATTTTGGGGTGGGATAGATGAGGGCGTGAGAGGCAGGGACAGAGTAAACTGCCCAGCATGGCAACACCACCCTGGAGTTAACAGGCTGCCCTTTTTCTCAGATCTATTGCTCCCCTCGCCCTTTGATGCAGTCTTCTTCCTGTGCCATGGATGTGTGCAGAGTGCTGGAGAGGGGGGACAGATTGCTGCATTCTCCCCCTGTTTTTTCAATTAACCATCTGGAAGGCATTAATCAAGCTACACATTTTTTACTATGTAGGCATAACCAGTGAACTGTTAACTAGAAAGCTTTATCTTCTGAGCCCTGTGGCCTGGGAGAGAGAAAAGAGAGGGAAAAAAAGAAAAACAAGAAAGCAGGGAGGATGAGATGGCGAACCAGTGAAAGAGAAGGGAAAAAAAAAAAAAAAGAAAAAGCAAAAAACATCAATGGTAGAAAAAGAGACCAGAAAGGGGGAGAATATGGGTGAAGCTGGACATAAAATTGGAAATGGGGAGGAAGGGGGAAGGAGGAGGGAGGATAGAAGAAGGTGGAAGAGGGCTGCCCCAGTGGGGGTATGGGGGCAGGGGCTGTGGCAGGGCAGGCTGGCAGCCCCACAGAGCTGCTGGCTCTTTAAGAAATCTCGTGTGCTAAATTTATCTTCTCTGCTGTCTGTGAAGTCTGTTTGTAGGAGATGAAGCCTTGAGGAGAGCCTTTGCCACTGCCTGCCGTGCTATAAATAGATCCGAAGAGACGAAGGGAATTTATATATATCCTCACTGGGTCTAGATACAACACTGCAACTGCCCTCTCTCCGAGCAGGGGGCCCAGGCGAGCTCTTAACCCTTTCATCTGTGATGCATTTGGGGTGGAGGAGAAAGCTCTGAGGGGGAGAAGGACAACAGGACAGGAACCACTTAAAAAATCACCACCGCTGCCTTGCCCTTGTGTGGATTGGCAGCTCTAGGAGGGCAGCTGGGAACACAACGCCTGTCCCACCCCAATCCTGCTCTGTGCTGGGGTAACTGGGCATTGTGGTGGTGGGGGTGAACAAAGAGGAGCTGCAGCCTTGGCAGGAAAGCCCAAGGTGGGAGGTGCAGAGCCCATGGCCGGACCAGGAGTGGGATGAGTCATGCTGCACACAGCATCCACTCTGGATTGCACCGCACCCCTGGGACACCGCGGCCACCAACGCGCATCCCGCTTCCCCTACGGTGTCAGATGCAAAAAATGGATTAAATGAAAATTTTCCACCCCATTTGTGGAGCCCCGCGGGCTAAAACCTTTGCACAGTGTCCATCCCAAAATCGCAGCCCGGCTGCAGGGCTGGCTGCAGAAAGGACACGCGGGCTGCTGTGCTCACACAGGGTCCCCCTGGCCAGGATTTGCTTATCACCTGCAGTGCTGGTTGGAAATGCAGAGCGTGACACAGTGAGATATGGCTACCACGCTCCATGCACCAAACCCCGCTCACGCTGGCAGCTGGCATAAATCCACAGCCACGCCAATGATTTTTGCAAGATCACACCAATCTGTATCAGCAGAGATTTACATCAGGGCAGAATTTAGCCCTGTTGATTCAAAAGGAAGGGACAGGTAGGACAGAAAGGAGAAAAACAAGACTGAGATGACATTTGTCCTCAAAAAGCCAGATAATGTCTTTCTTTGCCATTAAAGGACAGGTATATCCACACTGTGTAGCTCAGCATCCTCCAGAGATACCCCAGTTAGATGCAGATTCCAAACTCTGGTGATCTGCCCATATAAAGCTCCTTGGGCAGGTAAAATTGGAGCCATGTCAGGCTTTGTGCTGGTTTTTGAGCAGAGGTGGCACAGCCATACACAGCTGTGCTGGGCTGTAGCGTTTCACCTGCAGTGCCTGGCCAGCCCGGGGATGCCAGCACCACAGGACCACCAGGCGTGGGGCCTGGGTGGAACAAGATTCAAGAGGCAGCTGGTCTGGGGCACCAGCTCCAGGTCAGGTCCTGCCTCTGGGCTTCCTAAACTCTGATAAACCAACCCAGCTTGGGGTAAAGCAAGTGGTGTATCCCAGAGAGCATGGAGGTGTTTGATTCCTTAGATTTCAGATCTTACAAAGTATCCTGAACACCAACTTCCCTTTGATAGACCCTGCTTGAAGAATCAACCTTCACCTGTTCCTAGAGGGGCCAAGGAGAGCTTTCTCCACCTTCTTTGGTGGCTGTGCACCCAGGGCAGGTGGGACTTGTGGAGGGATGAGAGGCTTCACGCACCTCTCGCAGTCAAAGGGGAGCATGAGCAAATCTCAGTCACTCCAGAGACCTTCTGGGGTCACAGCACGTGCCACCTCTGGTCCAGAAGGCCACAGCACCAACCTGTGCCTCATCCTTTCATGTGTATAAATGTATTACCTTGCTACACTCTGAGCTGTTGTGTGAAGAGATGGGTTTGCTTGGCACGTGGGAAACTGCATGGGCAGGACGGGATGGGGGGATGGATGGGGGATTGCCACTCAGGAGCTCCTGTCTCAACAGGGCTAAGAGAAAATCAAGGTGGAAGGAAAGTAAAAGGTGGGAAAATGAGGAGAGACAATGGCATGAGCACAGATAGGGAAGGCAGGAGTGGAGATGACGGAGAGGAGAGCAGAGAGTACAGGACAGACCAGCAGGGTAAGGGAAGAGAGAAGGATGATCAGGGGCTGGACGGGGTAAAGCAGCCTGGAGAGGAAGAGCCGGAGGAGAATGAGAGGTTAAAAGAGGGAAAGCAGAGCAGCGGATACTCACTCAGTGAGCAGGGAGATGAGGGAACAGGGAACAAACCATCATCCTGTAAACAGCTCTAGACAGAGCACACTGCCTCCAGAAGACGTGAGCACAGTGAAAGGGAGCAGGGAGCGCGGGGACCAGAGGGAACGCCAGGGAAGGATGCCACCTTCCCCGTGGCGCTAGCATGAGGCGCTGGCGCCCGGCCAGCCCGCATCTTCTCCCTCCCCCTCCTCCTCTCCCGCTTCTCTACCCACCTCCCTCCCCTTTTAAATTCAGAAATTTGTGTGGTGTGAAATTTCATCTGCTTTGACGGCGATTCACAGAGACACTGCCCGTGGAGGGAGCGGCTCTCCCGCGCCGCGCGCTCAGCGAAGCGTCCAGCGCCTTCCACACCGAGCCTGGTCACCACCACAGCATCCTCCAGCTCCCCTTCCCTCCCTGATCCCTGCCCACCCCACAGGCCTCGGGGTCAGTCCCTCACAGTCACAACTTTGACGCCTCCTTCCCCACAAAAAAAGACATTCATGCCCTTGCCCCTAATTGTTTCTCCTGAGGTCTGAAGGCAGTTGTGCCATCCAAGCAGCCACGGTCTCACTGCCCTGCTACTCCAGTGCACAGCTGGCAGGCAAACACGGTTCATCTGGGGGGAGACTGCTGTGGAGAAAGCACCGTGCATCTCACAAAAAAATAAAAAGAAGAAAAAAGGAAAAAAGGGACATGGATGAGATGTCGAGCAGCTCGGGCAGGATGATGGAGATCTCCTTCTCTGCCAGCATCAAATGGATCAAGCAGAAAGCAAAGCAACATGGATACCTCACCCTGGAGAGTGTCCTCATCCCCAGGAGAGCTAGAGACCACCTCTAGAAAAACATCCATGGAGCTCTAAGTCACACAGGGCTAGTTCTGGGTGTCTGATTGCTGCAGTGAGGAAAGCTCTGCCCTCTTGAAGCTTGTATGGCCAGAGCAGATGCTGGCATGGGGAGGGTGGTGCAACCTCCACTGCTGCTCTGCACCGAGCCTGGCAGCAGCAGAGCTTGGCCCCACCACAGCTGCAGCTCAAAAGGGAGTGCTCAGGTTGCTGCAAACCATCAGTTCTCCACAAATATTTCAGTTCTCTGACATGAACACCACCAGCCATTTCATTCCCCCTCTGATCCTCCTCATCACTGTTTACTTATTAATGGCTTCTTCTGTCTTATTTAGAATGATTATATAAGTGCACAGGCACAGAGCAGCATAGAGCTCCAAGCTGCCATTAAACCCTGCTGCAGTCCAGGGTCAGCTTTCCCCCTGCTCCTTTCCCTGGTGCTGGCCACCTTCAGGGGAGCTGCCCATTCAGCTCCTGCCCAGCCCCTCTCCCTCTGCTGCAGGTCCTGAAAACTCTCAGCCTCCCATTCACCCTCTGCATCACCTCAGCGTGTT